TGCTGCAATTTGCTGCAACATGCTGCAAAATGCTGCAAAATGCAGCAATTTGCAGCAACATACTGTTCGAGCTCATTGCTCGTACTATGTAGCAGCTTTCGTCAAACGTTCCTCCTGTCTTGACAGTAGGTGCGCATATCTAACAAAGTAGTAGTAGTAATAAAGTATATAACTAAATATTAAAGGCTATTTTAACTTATTTTAGGTTAAATAAAACTAAACTAGCGCTTTAAAACTCTTTTTAAATATTACTAAAAGTAATTACTACATTATAAGTGTATATAAAGCATAGTAGGAACTTAAGTTTTATAATATAAGTAATTTAGTTATATATAAGATTTTTAGCTTAGCACTTATACACTTTTTTTAAAAAGGTAAAACAACTTACATTAAAAAGCTATAAAAAGTGTAATAAGTGTAAAAGTATATAAATAGTAATAATTTTATTTTTTTTATAGTACTACTAAAAATTAAGTAAGTTATAGCTTTTATAGCTATTAATAATAAAAAGCTAATAAGCACTTATAACTTTTTTTTATATACTTATTAAAGTGCTTTAACAACTATAGATTAAGCTTATTTATTATCTAGCTATTTTTAAAGACTATAATAACTTAGTTTTAAAGAAGATTTTTTTTATACTAAGTAAAAAAGTAATAGCAGCCCTTAAAAATAATAAAAAGTAAAATAGCTTACTTTATTATATTAATGCCTTAAATAACTATTATTTACTTTTTATTACTTTACTATATTACTTTTAGCTATTTTTATCTCTTTAAAGCTATAATAACTACTTTAGTTAATATTTAGCTTATTATAAAGCCTAACTTATTAAAGTTATATATATTTTTATTTTAAATACTATACTTAGCTTTTATGTTAGCTACTAGATAAAACTAGCTCTAGATAACTTTTAGATTTTTACAAAATGCTTTTTTATAATTATACTTATAATTAAACTTAATTATAAACTTAAGGCAGTGCTTAAACTATATACTAGGCTAGTTTAAGCTAACCTAGCCTAAATTACACTCTACATATAAAAAATTAGCTATATTAGCTATAGCTATAAGCTTAAAAAGAAATTTATATGTAATAAGCTTAAATATATAACGTACTTTACAGGCAAGTTGCTTACACACCTAAGTTGCTTACTTTTGCTAAGACTCTACTAAACTACTTTTTTTACACTAATGCATTTATAATAACACTACTTAAACGCGCTAAAAGAATGTTAGATATAGCTTACACTTTAAGCTTTTAAATAAAATATAAAACTTTTAAAGAAATGTGCTACAGCTATATATAAAGTCTTTTAAAAGATAATAAATAACTATAGCACTAGATAACTTTTATAAGCTAATTCTATAGCTAACTTATAAAGGCTAAGTAATAAAAAACAGTAGGTAATTATTAAGACTATACTTAAGCTATATATATAAAGATTTTTCTTTTAAATAGCATTTATAGCTAATATAGCTAATTTTTTACACGCTAAGTGTAATCTAGGCTATATTAGCATAAACTAGCTTAGTATGTTTAAGAAGTATTATCTAAACTTTAAAGTAACATTTAAGTATAATATAACTATAAAAAAGCTTTTTATAAAAGTTTTAAAGTAATTTAAAGTAGGTTTAGCCTTATAAAGAATATTAAAGCTAAGTATAGTATTTAAGATAATAACACATAACGTACTTTATAGGCAAGTTACTTACACACCTAAGTTACTTACTTTTTCTAAGACTCTACTACACTACTTTTTCTACACTAATGCATTTCTAATAACACTACTTAAATATATTAAAAGAATATTAGATGCAGTTTACACTTTAAGCTTTTAAATAAAACATAACACTTTTTAAGTAACATACTTGTAACGATTCTACGAATCGTTCCATCTCGGGTCGCTCGGATCCTATCCGAAGGGTCCCCGTATCGGCCCCGACCATGACTCGACCCAGTCCCCCGCAGTTACCCCTATTCCCTTATGTATTTAGTCGCACCTCGCCCTGTAGCTAGCTCGGTAGTTTTCTAATATCCTACGTATAAGGCCTATAGGTGTTATTAGTATTCCTAGGTCTCTAAGTCCCCACGCACTCCTATATGCCTCTAAGTAGATTTATACTGCATTTAGACCTATTGTCTTGCCTACGCTGTTACATTATATTAAAAAACTTACTTTTACTAGTAACAGCCTTATTAATAATATTACATTAATTATTTATTTAACTATGTCTAACTCTAAGAAGTGTTTAATTTAGTTTAGGTTACTATTCTTACACACTGTTACATTAAATTATTTAGTTATTATAGATAGAATCCTAG